ATATATATATAATTTATTTACAAAATATAAAATAGATATATTATGTCTATTTTAAGCATATATTATACGATATATTATATAAATATTAGGCGAGTTTCAGCGACGCAGCGTGCACAACCACCGTCCAATCGAGAATCTTTGTATAATATATCGTATAATATATGCTTAAAATAGACATATTATAATATATCTATTTTATATTTTGTAAATAAATTATATATATATTTGGAGCAATATGTTGAAGTTGTTCATTATTTTTAGCATTTGAAATTTCAATTATATTATAATCCATATTATCGATTAAATTATCTTTAAATAATAATTGTTTTTTTTTTATAATATCTGTTCTTTTAAGTGTTTCAATCAATTTAATGTTTGTATCATCTTTGTTATTTTTTATTGCTGGACATTGCAGATCTTCTTCTACTTCACAAAGTTCAGGTATATTTGCAGCAGGGTCCAAATATATATTTTTATATACTTTCTATAATTTACATTTTTTAAATAAATGTGTTTACATTACAAACAAAATCATCTTTATCTTATGTAAATTTATTACGGTGTCGTTACTAAGACGCTATCTCATATTTAGAACCTATCTCATAATCGGTACCTTTACCCTACCTATCTGTTTTTGACTAAAGTCTTTAAAATGTATAAAATATTTAAAAAAATAAATATATTTTATGTAATATGATTATTAATTTATTAGTTTATCAGTTAAGAAACAAAGAAAACAATATAGAAAATTATATTTATAAAATAAAAGATATATGTATGCATAATAATTTTTTAAGTAGTCACTGTATATATGTACATATGTTCATTTTCTCATTTCGTTTAATTTAACTAAATATAATTAAGCGCGCGAAGTTGGATTATTTTTTGATAATAAAATCGCAACGCATGCATAATAACTATTATTGTAATGCGTGCATAAAAATATATTAATTAATTATGCAACGCATAAAAATTCAATATTTAAATCTTTAACAGAGAATATAAAAACAAAAAATATAGTTAGGCCCGGAGTTGGTCGCACAGAGTCTACGATCAATGGTAAAGATCAGCCTTGTGCGACGTATGCAGCATGATAGACGTATTAATTGCAAAAATAATTTTTATGCATGCGTTGCAATTTTTGAGATTTTGGGAAACACTGTATGTATTACAAAAAATTAATTAATCATAAAAAATAAAAAAATATTTATATCTTATAAAAAAATAACTTTTTTTATCGTTCTATAAAAGAATGAAAGCTGGTGTTATAAAAAGTATGTATTACATACCTTTAATAATATAAATATGTAATGTAGAATAAACTTACACTACAGAACCGCTCCATGGACAAATCCAACACTTTCCCAATTGTAATAGTTAATTGCTTCTGTGATCTCATTATCATAAACACAATAAACCGACTGTCTTTAGAATTTGCTTCGTACCAGCAAGAATTATACACAGCATCTCCGATGCTGCTGGTCTATTTTAAACGAAAAATTATAAGATTTTCAAAGACAAATAATATATACATTTCTAAACGTAATATTTGTTTCAAAATTTAACCTTATTAGTTAGATATTCTCCAGCGAAACAAAACGTAAACGCCTCCATATTTGAAACGACGTAAAATAAAATTATTCTCATTATAATTTTTATACCATCAGGCGTTCCAACTGACTGGAATATTAAGAAAAGACCTAATGGCAATAAGAAAGCAATAGAAAGATGAATAATTTAAAATAATTAACACTGTTTACTCTCTAAATTTATTTTTACAAGCGCTCTTTTTCTTCGTAAAAATTGTCCTGTCGCAAAAAAAATTGAGACGCTACTTACCATGACGAGTGTATAACCCAAACAACAGATAATTAAAGTATCCGACACGAACAGCACCAGCGCGATATTTGTGTACATTTCTTCGATCTTCTCTGAAAAGATGATGACTTGTTGATGTTTCTTGATTACTTTCTGTATCATCAAGGGATTTAAACTTCTTTTCTCGGATAACTTTTCTTCCGTTGGAAACATTTCCGTCAACCACTTACAAAGAATATCTATTTGACCGCCTGCGTGCAGTATCTAAAATATAGCTTTTTTAATCTTTACGCTTGGAAATCGCTAAAAATATTTTAATGTTGAAATTAAATTGGCGAAATATGTTTATACAATCTTTTGAAATTTTTGAAAAGCAAATTTTTGAATAAATATATGTATATTTAACAAAATTTATCAACAAATTATTTTTATACTAATGCATATACAGGATAAAAAATACATAAGATTTAAATATGCTCGGTAATACTTCAATATTTCAATATAGGAAGTAAATACATACTAACACAAGTTAAAAATATTATTTGATTATTACGTGATATTGTATTTCATTATACATACCACAGTTTCTGAGTTAAAAGATTAAAAGAAATATTTAAATAATTTGCTCAACATAAGTTACATGATATTAATATTTAATAATTCGCTGAAATGTATCAGACAAATTGTTGTGAATCTATTTTGTATCTTTTCTTGCACGCCATAAACATTTATTAGTGTTGTTATACACTATATTTTAAATAATTTCAAAAATAAATATCTAATAAATTAGAATTAGGAGATTTTAGCGGCCGTAATATATTTATCTCGTTCCTATCAATCTGAAAAAAAATTGTTTAATTGCAATAGGAGAATAAAATTGAATCTTTTTTTAAATCTTGCAGAACTCAGAAATTATCGTATATCTTCTACTCATGTTTAAATATCTCTTATTTATTTTAATGTAAGAAATTTATATTTTGAAACATATATGGCCGTGCATTTATAAATCTTTTTATATATTATTATTAAATAATCACAGTTAATAATATACTAATAATATATATATATATATATATATATATATATATATATGTATATATAATTATTGTATAATAATAAAATAGAAAAAATAATAATAAATTTATTATGAAAACAATGAAACTCACCAAATTTATTAGTAAGGTATTTAACATGCCATGCACATTAGCAGACAACATTAAGTGAAAAAATTGAATAATTATGATAAGCCAATATATCAATGTTTGGTTAAGATCAAATGGTAAATCCATGGTCAAAATGAGCGGTTTCGTGGAAGAATTAGAAGCTTTCTCATCATTCGCGAAAAGATTGCTACAGTTAAACAATATAGACATCGTATAAATGACGATTGTCCCATTATTCAAACGTCGAGATAGATTTGCATAGTATGTCATCGTGATCATACTAACTTCATCGGTAGTACGGTTTTCCAAATCGGTTGCCATCATCGTTAATATTTTGATAAATGTTCTACGGATGGTTTTCGATGTATAAAGCAATGACAAAAAAATTCACTTAATTTAAATTTTTTTCTAATAATCAATTATATTAATCTATTTTCTTTACATATTTAACTTTATTATATTATTTATAATTTACTAAATAGTTTACATTGATGCAAAATTTTAAGCAACGAAAGTTAAAATCAAATTTACAAAATATTAATATATTAGAAGAATGGCAATTTAACAATTGAAAAAAAATTTTTTTTGGTTGATAGTATCATCACATATATTATTATAGCTCACCGCTGTTTAACCCAAAAAGTAATGAGTTTAATTAACATTATCGTGTATGTCATTGTTTCACTTAAAATTTTCATCACTTCGAAAGACTCTACAGAATAGAAATGTGTAACGACCCATCGATATTCAAGAACTTGTTCCATCATGACCGCAATTGTCCAAAATAATCTGCGTAACCAAATATACGACGAATTCGGCCAAATGCCAAAAATTCGAAGAACAATTTCCATCGATTTACTAAGCGTATTGTCTATTTTCATATTTCTGTTTTATTATATATCACTTGTTTCAATTAAATTTTTTTTAACCCTGATACACCGATTCTTCTTCCAAGACCATAATTTTACATTATGAGAAACGTGTGTAATATGCACGATACTGAATCTTTGTACAGATTGAAAACTCGGAAGGGAGTATGCATCGGACGATACCCTCTCTCGAGCGATTGCTCATTAAATATTTTGCATGTCGATAAAAAAAAGTTTCCAGGTTTCCGGACCGATCTCTAGTTCTAACTTAACAAAGTGCGTCGTATTCTTTAAATATTTAAGCAGCTGCAGTTAGTATCGCACGCAAGTCTACACCTGACGTTAAACTGTGGTCAGTGACCGCGAAAAAAGTTTTGTGATTCTAGAAATCAGAGGATTTTTCGAGGAAAGAAAAGACATGGAAGTTTTCCTTTTCAAGAATTTGTTGTCTGAATAACGAAGGAAATACTTCACGTGTATGATTTAATGAGTACTGGAAAATGTTATTCGCGTAGTTTCGAATGAAACGCGGGGATATAAGTTTGTGCACAATAATCGTGTAGAAAACGTGAAAACTGAAAAGAGAGACAGGGGAGACAAATAAAGTAAAAAGTTTTATTTCAACGCCGAATACGTGTGTTTCGCAAAAACAAGTGTAATACAAACACTAAAGAATATCACAAGACAAAGGAGAATTTACGTATTAGTTTTTTTCAAAGATTTTTACAAAGAATTGATAAACCTTCTTGATTGATATTTAACTTTTTCCAAAGATATTTATATAACGTTGTTTAAATATTACGAGAATCTCTGAAACAACGTATAATAATGTAAGAAATAGTTTTCGTTATGTAAACGTTTTACGTTGGTGCGTGCTTCATGTATTTATTACTACAATATTTTTCGCACAAAAATGAAAAATTAATGTACGTGTGTGAAGTAAATTATATTATATTACATTAAAAATAAGTGCACACAATTGTATGTAAATTAATGTAATAATAATAATAATAATAATAAATTAAATACTATTTTTGCTAAATTTTATTGTATTAATGTATCATATATTGTTGTGTTACAACTTCCATCAAATATTATACCATGAAGAATGATACTATCACAATATTTCGATCGACATAAAACTTATTTCTCAATACATTGCCATTAATACGGATATATATGATGCCGATGCCTTCATTATCTATAATATTAATTGCTACTAATATAATATATTATGAGTATGTAATTTTAAGCACTAATAGAATAGTCAGTTTAACAAAATCATAACACAACGTTTACATTAAAAAATTAAATTTTTTTCTTTCTAATATATCATATTATATTTTATTAGTCGACAAAATAGCACAGTTTTGTTTAAATTAATTTTATATTAAAATTTTTTATTATATAATTTAAAGACGTAAATAGAATTTAGTACAAATGCCAAAAATTAATGTTACAGAATGAAGAATAAAAAGGAAGGTAGAAAAATGAGAAACTTACGCTGGTAAAACGTTCTAAGGAGAGATCCATGACTTTTCCAATCGTTATACTCAATTGTTTCTGGGATCTGAGGATCACGAAATGTACAGTCCGACTCTGTTTAGGCATGACATCGTACCAAAGAGAATTATAGGCCGCATCTCCGATCATTCTGCTCTAGAAAAGAAGCAAAAGATGGATTGCGGATTTGTGCGAATATCGCTGCGATTCTAAGCTAACCTTGGTACTCAAGTATTCACCGGCGAAGCAATATATAAATGCTTCGAGATTCATCACAAAGTAATATAATATGGATCTGACCAGGACGGGAAAACCACCAGGCGTACCGATCGACTGCAATATCGGAGCAATTTAAAATCAATTGTATCTATATATATTTTTATGCAGATGTGCAACATTGATTATATTCCGATTATAATATTTTGATGAATAAATTGCATTTTCGGATGACTAAGATGCGTGAGAAAAAATGGTGTCAAATGAACAAAATTTTCGGAAAAGGTTCTGTATTTCAAGCAGATGAAGATAAACCTTTTCCGAATGTTTACTCACGGTGATAATAATAAATCCTATGCAGCATATAATGATAGTATCCGACACAAATAGCATCAATGCGATATATGTGTAAAGAGTTTCGATTCTTTGCGAGAACTCAATGATCCGCTGGTGCTTCACGATTAGCATTTTTAATGTTATCCCGTCCACTTTGAGCATCATATTTTTGGAGAAGGCTTTCATCAGCCAGTCGCAAAAAACATCGATTTGACCGCCGATGTGCACTATCTAACAATAAGATCCATAAGTAAACGATGTAATAAATCGCGATTATTTTGAGAGGATCCGACTAGTGTCGCAACCAAATTGTCGCAAACAAATTCACCAGAGTGACAATGAGCGAGTTGACGATAGACATCCCGCAGGCGCAAATTGACAGATGACAGAACTCGAAAATCATAACGAGCGCGTAGACGGGAAACGTGTTGATCATAAAGGGTAGCTTCATCTTTAGGATGTGCTCGCGCGAGGACACATTCATCTTCTCAACGTCACCGGCGTTGCCGGCAAGAACGCCGCAACTGTACAAAACCACGGCGCCCAATTGAAGGCCGATGAGCCAGTTGGAAACGCGATGCGAGAGTCTGGCTCTATTCGTCGTAATGCGCAGACCGCACTCGGTCAAGTCGCAATTCTGCCAGTCCACGGCCATCATTTGCAATATATCGGAGAACGTTCTACAATCGAATCACAGATTCATCTCGAAACGCTATTCAGTACCAATATCTAACATCTTGTAGTAAATATGTACACACTGATATCCTTTTACAAATAATAAGTAAATTTTTACACAACAAATTATATGCGAAAGACAAGATATATAATGCCATTTATGAAATAATTGAGATCAATTTTGACAGCATATTTGGACGTTTCACACATGTATATATTTAATATCTTTTTATAAAAATTAAATAAATTTGAAATTATTTAATAAATTTAACAAAATAATAAAATTAATAAATTTAATACAAATAATACATTTAATAAAACTTAAAAATTTTTTTAAATAATGAAGTAATGTCTTACCGCTGATTAGCCCATAAAATGACGAGTTTGATTAACAGGAGACTGTACGTCATAGCGCTGCTCACTCCATCCATAAAGTTGGAGAAACTATCGGTGTAATAGTGTACCATCACGTAGCGATATTGAAATATCTGAATTGTGCTCAACAATACAGTCCAAAGGAACCGGTACAACACGGTAGACGGTAGATATGGCCAGATACCACAGGCATGAAGACCAATCTTTACCGCGCGACTAACCGTGCTTATCTCCATGTTCACCATAAATAAAAGGACGCTTTGAGCATGTGCGAATCGCCAGGTAACTTTACGGAAAGAAATTCGAAAAGGTGGGGAATCGAGACGGTCACTGACCGAAAAAAATGAAAAGAAAAGTTCACCAATCGGATGACACGTTAAATATTCAGTATTGCCACGTGCGTATCGCGAACTTTGACAAACTCGAATAAGTATCAGGTGCGACAGTCACACGTCGCGTGAACCTGAAAAATATTATAAGGAGGATAGCATATTTTTTTCTTTTCCCTTCTTTGAGTTACGAGAACGATGCAACTGCGAATTAAAAATGTAACAATGCCTGCAATAGGGGCGAGTTTACAGCTTCCATGACCTGCGCGATAAACGCGCAGTTGAAAAGTTTCGCTGCCGAGTGAGCGTCATGAAGAGAGGAATATGAAAATGCGGAAGTTTGTTCGGACGAGGAGCGACCCAAGATTACGTGTTCGTACTGCGATATATGTGGCAGAAATACACTCCCCTTGGCGAAGCGAGAGAGTGATAAAAAGTTTCATCGAGTGATTTTTCTCTGTAAACCGCAAGTGGACACTTGAAAATATTACTCTCTTTTTACGTTGCATCTTTTTTTAATTTTTAAACCTTAAGATAAAATTAAAGAAGTAAAATGTTAAATTATACAGGAACAAAGATGGATTTAATTATGAGAAAGTACAGGTCTTTTCACACGCGATATCTTGGATGAGGCACAAACATAAATCAGATACGAAGCTGTGTGCAACGACCGTGAAAAAGTAACTCAAGACTTAAGGACGCGGATCCCCGAAGAAGAGAGAACGAAATTGTTAGTAGTTTTCAGTATTGTTCTTTCGCTGTAGACAAGCAAACAAGAAGCTCTACAAAAAAGATCTTATTTAAGAGATATCCACATTATTTACAACAATTGTTATGCATTTTTTTTCTCTAAAAGAATATAAAATATAAATTAAAAGAATATAATAGTGAAGTTAAGTGTAGCTAGAATTACTTGCAAGTCGTGGAAAATAAATGGAATAGAAGCATTACATAATTAAAACTAACTTTTTATATTTTTATCTTATGTATTATTGAACTCTATTGTTTAGGCACTATTAGTTCATATTATTGTTACTACCATTGTCATAATATATGTTATCTCTCTCACTCTCTCTCTCTCTCTCTCTCTCTCTTTCTCTCTCTCTTTCTCTCTCTCTCTCTCTCTCTCTTTTATATTTAGGTCATTGCTAGTAGTAGCGATAGATATGATGCTGAAGCCTTGATAACCTGTAATTAATCATCATTGTATATATTAGAATCTCTCTAATATAAATAATAATAATAAAAAAAGTAATAACAAAACAATAAGTAGAATAAAATTATTTGTACAAGTTGTGATTTTTTAACATGTCGATTTCTGCAATTAAATTTTTTTTGTAATTTTTGATTAATCTTAAAAAAAAATAATAATAGCTTAACTTTACAAGTCACAACAAGACAATATATATTCACTCGAAATTAATATTAAAATGTTAGAATTAAAAGATAACATTTATAAGAAAATAAAATCTGTCAAAAATATTCAAATTTCATGTTGTATAGAAATTGCGACAAATAAAACAAAAGAAAAAGATAATATCAAGTTGAATCTTACGCTAGTAAAACGCTCCAAAGAGAGATCCATGATTTTTCCACTCGTAATCGTCAACCTTTTCTGCGACCTTAGAATGATAAACAATATAATTTGGCTCTCTTTGGCCGGAAAGTCGTACCACAAAGAATCGTACGCCGCATTCCCGATCATCTTACTCTGAAAGAAAAGCAAATGTTCGCGAATTAATAGGGATTTTTTGTAAAATCACGATGAGATATCGATGCTGACCTTGGCGCTCAGATATTCGCCAGATAAACAGTATATGAACGCCTCGAGGTTTATCGTGATGTAAAACAACACGGACTTTACCAGGATCGCCGCCGCGTTGGGATCATCTAACGACTGTAATTTTCACTTACATTGGCAATTTATTTTGGTATGAATTAATGTGTGATGTTTGTAACGTTTCTTTGATATCGATAATTTTTTATGCAATATTTTATGTCTATAAAACATCAAACGCGTCATTTTTTACTTACAGTAGCGATAATATATCCTATACAGCATATGATGAGTGTGTCAGATAAAAGCATCATAAACGCGATGTATGTGTAAAGATTCTCGATACTTTCCGAAAATACGATAATCCGCTGATGCTTTATGATCAATGTTTGTATCGTAATCTCGTCCGTCAAATCTGTCTCATTCTTGGAAAAAGCTTTCATCAATCGTTCGCGAAGAATATCGATTTGACCACTGACATGAAGTACCTGAAGTTTAGAACTTGATAATCTTCTCGAGAAGATAAATAATCGTTCTTCAAAAGATGTACCGAGAGAAGATATAAATTTAATTTTTAGCAAGGTATTTATATATACATCTAATTTCATTGTCAGATGTCATAAAATTATACACACAACGTTATTAATCAAACATTCATAGCTCTGCATCCTATAATTGTCTCGTTGATAATATTTAAAAAATTAAATTATTTCACGAGATATTTACAAATTAAAATATCTTAACTTGTGCTTTAGATGTGTTATCTAAAAAAAAATATTTTAGTAACTCTTTCTAACTTTTGTATTACAGACCTTTTGGAAATTAAACTATTTTCAGGATAAATTATTAATTGAATACTATCAATAGGATAAATTACAAAGTATCCCTTCCGCATTAAACAAAATAATTATTTTTTATTATTGATGTAAAAATTGAACATTCAGGGTTATTCAAGATCACTAAAGTATGTGTCTCTTCTTATCTTATAATTTTAATAATAGATGTCTTGCCCTATCACAACCGTTTTCGAGAAATTATGGTAAACTTTTTATCAGACTAACTTCTGTACATAAAATAAAATCGAGAAATTGATCGCGCGGATCCGTCTTGTTTAAAAAGTGATTGAACGCGTGTCAAAAACTTACCAGAGTAACGAGAAGCGAATTGATAGTCGTGATGCCGCAGGCGACAAGAAACAGATGGTAAAATTGAACACTTTGAATCGCCACGTAAATAGAATTCGTGCTAATATTGAACGGGAATGCCATCTTGAGAATGAGCTCTTTTTTGTACGGTTCCACTCTGTCGGGATTACCCACGTTAGCTGCGAGAACGCCGGCGCTGTAGGTGATTACGGCACCTATCTGCAGGCCAATGATCCATCTCGAGGCGCGACGTGCGACATTTGCCGTTTTCATCATTATCCGCGAATTATAGGGGCTCGGGATAATATTGTCTTGCCAGTCCGCGGACATCATTTGCAACAGATCGAAAAATATTCTACGAAAGATCGTTCACACCGTGGGTGTTAATGCCTGTTTCACTCTCGGCCACCGTAAAATTGAATCCGGCTCCGAATTTGTTTCATAACGTATCAGGAAAAAAAAACGAGGCAGCTCCATTTACTCGTGAGCAAATCGATCGATTTAAATGAAAACGTGAGATTCAAATGAAAATCAACGAGATCGACTCTTAATCGATGACTGCGATAAGTGACGAGGGATCGGATTTGTATTCTATGACAAACGAGATTTGTGTGATATTCCGTAAATGCATCATACCGTTGATTGGTCCACAGAAGAACGAGTTTGATGTAGAGCAGAGAGGAAGCCATCGCGCTGCTAACTCCGTCCATAAATTGGGAAAAGTCGTCCATATGAATGTTCACTACGACATATCCATACTGACAGACCTGGGCTGTGCTTAGCATCATTATCCAGTACAATCTAAACAACACGGTGGACGGTACGTAAGGCCAGATGCCGTAAATGTGGAGGTTGAATCTGACGAGCCGACTTAGCGTGGTCTTCATTTTTTTATTCTCTCAAGACGACGCTTCGAGGTTCGATCGACGAATAATTTTTGCGAAATGCTGAAACTGCTCGAGGGTCGACAACCGAACCTCTCGTGTCATCGACCACTGACTCAATCATTTTCCCTTGCCTCTCCCCATGCATTAAGTATATATTTCTATTGTAAAAAAAAGAAAACTTTTTAACTGTCATATTACGAATCACGAAAATGATGGCTTTCCTTGTCCCCTCCTTTCCTTCAATCGCGATGCAATTGCACGCTCTCTTTAAAAATGCAACAGGCATAAGGGGCGAGAAACTCAGTTTCCATGAACGATGTTGAAAAGTTTTTCGCTGCTGAGGAGGGAGCAACGTCGTGGGGAGAAAAACGTCGGGAAAGAAAGCGAAGACGTATCGCAGGAGTTTCTTGCGATGGAAAGTCTGGCTCGAAGGTCACAGTTGTGCTGTAAGTGGTTGCGTGAAGGATCAGTTTGACGACGACGTTGTAGGCTGAAGCACCTGACGAAGAAGATCAACCAGCGATTCTCCTCGCAATTGCAAGGCGAGTATCTCATTATACCGTTTTCATGTCAAATTCTTCTGTATCTTTAAGCATGAAAAATAAGTAAAAAAATTTCTAGTTCAAATACCGTTAATGAATGGCTAAATAGTCACAATAATTTTTTCATCTCATTACGATTAATTTGATTGCGTAATATATTTACACAGAAGAGAAGCAATATAGTTAACTTTTATAATATTTGTTATATTGTTCGTGTGTAGTATATATTTTTGATCTACTTGAAGAATTGAATCTGGAATTTTGTAAAATAAAATGACGTTTGACATGACTAAATTAAATGCTTTTATTAGGCTTCTATGAGAATTTAAAATACATCGTATTTATAGCTCTCTGCTTGTGCACTGCGAGCCAAGTAAAGCTGTCAAGAGAATCGATGCTTCAGTAAACGACACTCCTGCTCGTCTACACTTGATGTAAAACCTCGTCAAGTCTCTCTGAATAGGAAAATTGTTAATCGTGTAAACGGGCTGGCGGTAGTAAAAGAGTATAATATCTCTCTTTCTGCACGCGAGGCCATAAACGGCGCGTAATGTACGCTGATGACTTCAATACATCGCGTGTAACACCGACACATATGACGCTGATGCTTTCACGATCTACAACATGATACATACTAGCAATTACGGCCAACATACGCGAATATCATGCAACATGACTGAAGAACCGTCGCTCGCTTGTCAAAACATCAATCATAGTTAAGAGCCTATGTGCGCGCAAAAATATCTACACATTTTCATAATTTTATTAGCCGGTTAAATCTCTTACGTTGGCGAATTGCTGCAAGGAGAGATCCACGAACTTCCCAACTGTGAGTGTCAAGCGCTTCTGCGATCTTACAATCATTAGAAGGACATCCCGGTTCTGATTCGTGCTCGATTCGTACCAAAGCGATTCGTACGCCGCATCGCCGATCATTTTGCTCTGCAAACGTAATACATTTTTGTGGTAGAATGTAAAACAGAATTCAGTGCGGATTGCATTGCAGTGCGAATGCACTGACTTTTGTGCTGAGATACTCTCCGACGAAACAAAATATAAATGCATCCAAGCAGATGACAACGTAAAACAGTATGGATTTCATTAACACTGTCGATCCGCCCGGGGCACCGATTGACTAAAATATTTGAAATATATTTTATAATATCGAAAAAAAATTAAAATTACATTATCACAGAGTACTCACAATTATGATGAGAAATCCTAGACAGCAGATAACCAAAGTGTTTGAGACGAATTGTATCAAAGCGATGCTTGAGAAGAGGCCCTCGATGTTTTTGGAGAACGAGATAATCCTTTGATGACGAACGATCAGCGTCTTCATGATACTTTTGGTGATACCTTGCTCGATGTTCTTTCGTGTAATTTCACTCAATTTTTGCCGCACTATATCGATCTGCCCGCAGGCGTGAAGCACCTAAATGTCACGATATGCGCCCTTTTCAATTTTACGCCTCATATAAGAAGCATGAAGTTCTCTGCGTAGCTTGTACATTAGTTTATTTCTCGGATTACAAAAATATTACATTAATTATATTAATATTGTATTTATTATTTCGCTTAAGATTTTTCTCGATTGATGTCATATTAGAAGCTGTCTTTCTTTGCAGAAACATGGATTAATGATAAAAAAGACTTACAAGTGTTATTAGGAAGGAGTTTATCACGCCAACCGTACTAGCCGCGCTCGTTTGATGAATAAACTGTGTAATTAGAACAGCGATATACACTGATGTGCTCTCGATCTTGAAAGGCAATTCCATCTTGAGAATGAGCTCTCGAGCATCGGTCTGATTGCTACTCCTAGATATAGATCTAAGCACAGTTCCGGCAGCGTAAAGCAACACTGACATCACGTAAGTGCTGATTATCATGGTGGAGAATCGACGAGAGATGTCAGCTATTCTGGTCATTATATACTCTTCGGAGGCATCATGAATCTTCCAGTCCTCGATCACGCGTGCCACGATTTCGTTCAGCAGACTATAAAATTGAAAAAATATTGAACGATATATAGAGCGGCAACACGCGAAGAAGCATCACGAAATAGCATCACGAGTCAAAGAAGAGCGTAGAAAAATATGTTACGTGTACATTAGAAGTTACATTTTTCCAATTTACAACCTCATATCTAGGATATGAAGACCCGGAATCTGCTGGTTTTGCAAATCGTACTTAGCTGATGCGAGAAAGCTTACTGAGCGTTGAACGTGAAAATAATCAGCTTGATAAATAGAAGACTGTAAGCCAGAGTCGCGCTCAATACGTCCATCAGGATAAAAAGATCCTCCTCGCCGAAGTGCAGGATCAGATATCGATACTGAAAGGTCTGAAACACCGCTAACGAGGATATGCACAGAATTCGGCGCAAGATTGCGTATGACGTGTCAGGCCATACTCCGATGGCGCGAAGGCCGAATTCTACGGGGCGACACACGGAATTCATCGAGCCCATATGGTTCTTCATCAAACTGGGATGAATCAGTTTCTCTTACGATACGACAGTACCAACGTGACTTTTCTTACTTTGCTTCCTTCTGTCAGCTTACATTATACGAACAAGATTATAGATTTGTACGATTATCAGTTTCAGTATTTTCCACTGAAATTACAACGCGATAGTCCGATTTTGTAAGATCATTAGTTAGAAGAGGAGCGCCAAAACTTCCGGTGGAACGAAATAGCAAGCTCGTGGATGAATATAGTCGTCGGTTGAAAGGTCCGAGCGAGACTGTAAAATTTTCTGTGGCTTCAGCACTCGATTAACTCCCACCTCTGTCACTAGTCGACCAGTAAAGATCGCTCACATTACGTATTTCCGTCGCGAAATTATTTCCATATTGGAAGTCGCGGGGAAAAACTTATAAACCGATATTTCTTGGATAATTATAGCGGTTGCAAAAAAAAGAAACAGTCACGAAGACATCCATATATTGTCTTGTGTGCGCATCGCGCGCTCGGTCGCGATCTGTCATTTGCATTAAAAATGCAAGGCAAACGTTTACCCCACCACGTGTACTCGACATTATAATTCCGTACAATACAAATTCAAACAGCACGATGGACGATATACAGGCCAGATATTATAAATGTAAAGACAAATGTCGACTTTAATTACTTATCTGAACGCATCTTTTTCCTAGAAGTTGATTAGATCCTTAGAAGATTAATCGCGATATGTTATCAAGCTTATCCAAAACTGAAATCTCCTTGCTTTGTGTCATTTTACATATATATTATATATATATATATTATAAAATTAATTTTTATAATATTTTTTATACATATGCATTTATATATTTGTATATTTTTCTCATTACTTCAAAAATCTTCCTATTAGTTTAATCTCATATTTTCTAAGATGAAAGTGGCACTTTGACATTAGACGAAATTCAATCGTTATTTAAGTGTTTTTATTTGGATTTTATTAAATATATAGTAAAATCTCTATTCAAAAAATCAAATATCTCGTTTTATCGGAACTCTATCTGTTTCAGCAAACAATATCTCTGCTCGTCTATACATAGTCTCTGACTAGGAAAATTGCTAATCGTGTAAACGGTTGGCGGCAGTAAAACTATACTATTCCCTTCTGCACGCGAAGATATTAATGTACTTTATAGGGAGCTTCAATACATCGCGTGTAGCACCGACGCATACGACGCCGAAGCTTTCACGATCTACAACATGACAAAAGCAATTACGATCGTTATACATATGTATATGTATACATGTATCATATGCCGCGATGAAGTGACTGGAAAATGTCGTTTGGTTGCCAAAATATCGTTCACGTTCTACGTTCACGCACAAATGTGAAATGTGTGAAATGCCTTCATTTTGTTGCACTTTTATTATCACATTAATTAAATGCTTACGCTAGCAAATTGCTTCAGGGAAAGGTCCACGACCTTTCCGACCGTGAGCCTCAAATGCTTCTGCGATCTTAAGATCACGAGGAGGATATCTCGATTCTGATTCGGGTTTAATTCGTACCAAAGCGATTCGTACGCCGCATCGCCAATCATTTTGCTCTATAATTTTGGCTCTATAATGGTAAATTTTTCTCGAATTCCTTATTAAATGTGTTAAATAATATATACTGACCTTTGTGCTAAGATGCTCCCCAACGTAACAATATATAAATGCCTCTAAGTTGATAAGAATGTAAAATAACACGGATTTTACTAATATCGCTGATCCACCCGGAACACCGATAGACTGCAATTTAAAAAAAGATGCCTCGTTTATTTAAAAAAAAGATTAATGTTACTTTGTTCTACTCACGATCATAATGATAAATCCTAGGCAGCAGATAACCAGAATATTCGACACGAATTGTACTAGAGCGATATTCGAGAAAAGTGCCTCGATGTTTTTGGAGAACAAGATAATTCTCTGATGTCGGACTATCAACGTTTTCATGATGCTGTCACTCGCAGTTCGTTCGATGTCTTTCCGTGTAATTTTACTCAATTTTTCTCGCATTATATCTATCTGCCCACCTATGTGCAGAACCTAAATACCACGAAATGTAGTTAATTCAATTTAACATCTACACACTATAAAAAGAAAACAAACATCTACTTTGTATATTCTTAATATAAATAGATAAGTTTAATATCTCGATTTTTGATATATTAAATAACTAAATCTCATTTTCTTTGTCTTTTTAAATGTTTCTAGAGAAATTAAAAATATTATTTTCTAACCATTTTTCTCACAAATAAAATAATTAACGTTAAATAAAATATATCTAACATTTATTGATTTTCTGGGATGATTTAAACCCATAAATTTCTTTTTCTATATTATGTTGCATTTATATATTTTTGAATAATTTTCAGAAACACTGCCGTTTTACGAGAGAATGCACTTACCAGTGTTATCAATAAGGAGTTCAGAACACCTGCCATACTAGCCGCACTCGTCTGATGAACAAACTGTGTAACGAGAACAACTACATATACCGATGTGCTTTCGATCGCGAATGGTAATTCCATTTTGAGGATGAGTTCTCGAGTGTCGGTTTGATTATCACCTTTCTGCTTCAACAAGGTGCCAGTTGCGTAAAGGAACACCGACGCCGCACACGAGATGATTATAAAGTTGGAGAAACAACGAGATACGTAAGCTATTCTAGTCATCGTGTAATTATCTGAAATTTCACGCTCCTTCCAATCGTTGACCATGCACGTTATGATTTCGTCCAGCAGACTATAACGAATTATTTCAAAAAATATTGACCGATATAAAGTTCTGTACGAAGTTGACGTAAAAAACACAGAGTACAAGAGAATCATGTAAAAATTTCAAATTCGATAATCGCGATCTGAATTTAATTCCGATTTTGCAACCAAAACAACTTACCGCGTATTGAAGGCGAGAAAAAGGAGCTTGATAAATAGAAGACTATAACTGAGCGTCGCACTTAACACGTCCATGAAGAGCGGCAGATTTTCCTGGCCAAAGTGCATGATTAAATGCTGATATTGAAAGGTCTGAAAAATCGCTAACGAGGATATGTAGAGGATTTGTCGTAAAATTGCGTACGATGTGCCCGGCCATACTCCGACTGCGCGAAGACCAAATTCTATAGAGTGACACACGGCACTCATCGACTTTATCTCATTCTTCATTGAGTCAGTCGAATAAAAACTAAACTTTACGACACAACAGCACCAGCGTGATTTATTATTTAATTTAATTTTCTTTCATTTATTCTCTTTTCTTCTCAATCTATATATTTGTAGGTAACATTATAATCTACAAGAGTGACATATTCACGTTCTCTTTTTAATATAAAATTATTTGATTCTAATATTCAGTGCGAGCAATTGATAGTGATACGGTTGCATTAATGAAACGTTGGATTTCGTAACGTCAGCAGTTAGAATAAGACGAGCGTTAAAATTTCTGGTTGCAACGCGCTCGATAATCTTATGTTAGTTCAGTTGTGGTTGGTTGAGAGGTCTCAGTAAGACTGTAAAATTCTATGTATTGAGTGATCAAGTAACTCCCACCTTGACCGTGATCGACCAATAGAAATTACTCATTTCTTATTCCCGTTTCTTGCTATCTTCGAAGTCATGAATAAAAGCTATAAACCGATGCATCGATGATTGATGTGATCGCAAAAAAGAAAGACAGATGTGCTCGTGCACCCTCATACGATCGCTGTCTGTTATTTGTATTAAGAATGCAAAAGAAATATTCACCACGTCTTGAAAGAGACTCGTCATCATAATCTAGCTGCATATGATCCGATATTGTAAACTTGAAGACTATCTCTATCCAGTAGTTTAAATGCGATTACGTTTTCTTAGAAGACGACGAGAGATACACTTCGAAGATCGATCGCGATACATCTTATCCAACCTTCCTAATAATTAAAGCTATTTTTTGCAAAATGCAATATGGATTATATATATATATATATATATATATATATATATATATATATTTCTATTATAATACGCACAAAAAAAATTATAATTTCCCGAGCAATAAAAATAGACGTGGGAAATGTTTCTTTCTTGCCCTCGAGTTTTCAACCACGATGTACTAACTGCGCGCTCCGTTAAAAATGCAAAGTAAAAAGGAAGACAACTTACACGAAATGCTCGCCGCGCGGTTGAAAAGTTTCATTGCTGGAAGAACATGTCGTGGGGCGTCGCGAGAAAGAAAGACGGTGACACATCGTAGCAATTTGTTGCGACAAAGAGACCAATGTGAGGATCGCAGTTGGCGCTATATGCGGTTACGAAAAGGATCGGACAGTTTGACGTTGCAGGACAAAAGCACGTGACAATGAAAGATATCGTTTGTCGAGCGACTTTTTCGAAACGAGATGATTGTACGAGTACAATACTAGAAGACATCTTTTGCATAATATTGCGCCTTTAATCGTTATCTCGAAAAAAATTGAGCAACCACATTTATATTAATATGATAAAAACATTAGTTAATTTATACATATAAAATTAAATTCTAAAATTAAATATGTAATTATATATACGTATAAATTAAATTCTTGAAATATATATATATATATATATATATATATATACAATTTATATGTGTGTATAAATTGGAATTTTATTTCAAGAATTCAGAATTTAATTTTTGCATTTGTTGTCAATTACCTGAATTGTCACTGGATTCGAATTGTTACGAGTGCAAAGGCTTAATGTAAAATTTTCATTGTTTCGCTGATAAGTAAATGGGGTCTTTGCTTGAATGCTTTTATTTGCCGCTAACCGAGTTTGGTAAAGTACACATCGATGAAGAAGATCAATATTGCAATTATAATTTTGTTCCTACTCATGGCGAAAATTATCGCAAATTGATGCTCTTCATAAAGGATATAAGTCCCTGTTCCGCGCACGCATACATTTAACGTGAAACTCTGTTTCCGAATAGGGAAATTGTTAATCGTGTAAACGACTGGGACTAGTTATAATAACAGTATGTTCCTTTGCACATGGAGAGATATTAAACGGCGCATATACAAAGCACACGTACGAGCTCTTTCAATACATCGCGTGTAACACCGACACATACGAGGCCGAAGCTTTCACAATCTGTAACATGATAAAAATAAATTACGACCGTCGTGAAAAGGAACGAAGGAAGGATTATCAAAGTGTAATTTATGATAACGTTCCTGGGAGTTTTCCTAGTCACTTTTATTACACTTTGCTAAATTCTTACGTCGGCAAATTGCTTGAGGGAGAGATCCGCGACCTTCCCGATTGTGAGAGTTAAGTGCTTCTGCGATCTCACTATCATGAGAAGGATATCTCGATTCTGATTTGAATTTAGTTCGTACCAGTTTGATTCGTACACCGCATCACCTATCATTTCGCTCTGAAAAGTACGATAAATTCTCGTCCCGAGGTTTGTAATGTCTGTATTATAGTGTAATTTATACTGACCTTCGTACTGAGATGCTCCCCAACGAAACAATATACAAATGCCTCTAAACTCATAACAAAATAAAAAACACGGACTTTATCAACATCATCGTGCCGCCCGGTACACCGATTGACTGTAATTTTCGAATTGCAATTTTCCGCTTTGTGTCTCCTCCGAAGAGAAGTTAAATTATTTCATTGTACTCACGATCACGATAAGAAATCCCAGGCAACAGATAACCAGAGTATTCGACACAAATTGTATTAGCGTGATGTTCGAGTAAAGAGTCTCGATGTTCTTGGAGAACGCGATAATCCTTTGATGTTGGACAATTGATGTTTTTATGATGCCTTCGGTAACATCTCGCTCAATATTCTTTCGCGTAATTTCGCTGAGTTTTTGTCGCACTATATCGATCTGTCCACACGCGTGAAGGACCTGCACGTAAATTTAATTTCATTGAAAACGTATAAAAAATTTTTAATATAATATTATAACTAATATTTAATAATGAATTTTAATTGTATATAATTTATTATTGTCTATGTTATTTACTTGCATATATGTATTTAAAATAGTATATAAATTCTCTTCTCTTCTCCATCTCCTATCTAATCATTTTTTTCCTCTAATATTAGCACATAATGTTGAAGCAACTGTACTCACCAATGTTATCAAAAAGAGTTCAGCACGCCTACCATAGCAGCCGCGCTCGATTGATGAAGGAACTGCGTAATGAGAACAGCCACATATATTGGCATACTCTGGACCTCGAAGGGTAACTCCATCTGAACGATAAGTTCTCGAGATTCGGTTTGATTGCTGCCGCTCTGTTTAACAAGCGCACCGGCGGCGTAGAGAAACACCGATAGCGTGTGCGAGAAAATAATCACGTTAGAGAACCGACGAACGATGTAAGCCATTTTTGACATCGTGTTCCTATCCGAAATGTCGCATTCCTCCCAGTCCATGACCACGCGTACTATGATTTCGTTCAGCAGACTATAAGGGGATTATTTAAACAGACACTAAGATCGACTCTTCTCGCGAACAAAACATTGTTTGGCAAAATTTGCAATAAAAAATAATGGCTCTGATGTGTACTAGTTTTAAAAGTTTGTGCTCAGTATTGATCGCGACAGGAGAGCTTACCGAGCGTTGAACGCGAAAATAATCATTTTGATAAGCAGAAGAGTGTAAGCGAAAGTTACGCTCAGAGCGTCCATGAGAAGCATAAGGTCCTCCTGTCCAAAGTTCACGATCGCGTACCGATACTGAAATATCTGAAACACCACCATCGACGATATGCTGAAGACTTTGAATAGGATTGCGCAAGGTGTGCCCGGCCAGACACCGATCGCACGAAGACCATATTCCACGGATGGACTCACAGTAGTCATCGGTTCCATTTCGATTTTTTATTCGACTTCAATAAGTCAGTTTTATATACACGATTCTCTGTTTTTCTCTCTTTTACTCTTTTCATCAAATAAATTGTCGCTGATTCTGATTAAATTTTTTTTCTCCCTATATTATTGATAGAGATTCTAGAAAGAGACATTAATTTGCAACACGTAGAATTATTTAATCAAACCGGATAAATTGACGGAGCAAAATTACAACACCCTGACGAAACGTCAGATTTCGCAGCGTCATGGATTAGAAGACATATAGCATGTTCGATAGTTCAGTAGATTCAATTTACGATCGGTCGAGAGGTCTCGGGGAGACTGTAAATGTCTACCAACTCGAGTAGCTTCTGTCCCCCACTTCGATCAGCCACGTTAATTGCTCGCCGCGCATTTCTTTCTGTCTATTTCTTTCTTAGAAGACACGAACAAAAAATATATAAAAACCGATGTCACAATAATTGTCGTAATTACGAAATAATACGAGAACACCCTTGTACGGGTGTCTGTAATTTGCATTAAAGATGCAGGGCAAATTTACGTGCACCGAATAAAATGTGTGCGCGGAATTCTTGGAACATTCAAGTGGCAAAGAAGTGAATAGCGGGAATTGTGAAGCATAAATTTATAAGGAGAAATCGAAAGCGGGGGGATGAAAGTATAGATCTCTCAAAGATTCGCACGAAAATATATCTATCTATAAAAGTGCGACGCAAATTGTCAACTCTGTCAAGATATATTGATGCAACTTTTTACATGTGAAATATCATATCTTGTATAATATGTTCTTGGAAACGCTGTTCAATTGCTAGAATCGCGAGAGAATCGTTTTCTCTCGTAATAGCTACAAATATACACAGAGAGAGTATATTATATTCCCTTTATCTTCAAGACATAGCATGCAGCACGGAGACATAAGACGCTGATGCTTTAATAATCTAGAAGAAATGAAAAACAGAAACTTGTTTGTGCTTTGTGCGAGTAAAATCTGATATAAAATTTAATGAAAAGAAAATTGTAACTGTGTTTCTTATATGCATATTGAAAACAAATATATATTATTAACTCTTGAATCAATTTGTTAATTGAATTAATGAAGATTAACGCAACATGTATTTTCTTTCGAAATACAATATCTATGCTGCCTGATACATAGTAAAAGAAAACGCAATTCTCCAAATTCATCTTACTGTCGTGAAACGTTCTAGGGAGAGATCCATAAATTTTCCGATTGTAATAGTCAATTTTCTCTGCGATCTCAAAATCAAAAGTAATAAGGTACGGCTTTGCGTGGGACTCGAATTGTACCACTTCGCTTCGTACGCTGCATCGCCGATCATTCTACTCTGCAACGATTATTAAGTTTAATTAATTGTAAGAAGTTTAATAGTGAAGTATAACGTTAAAAAAATTGTTAAAATTCTTTGAATTTTATTGCTTTAAATGCACATCTGCATTAAACAATTTTTAGAAACCATACTCTGTAGATATACATGTAGATAATTTTTATATAAATTACACTTGATAGATAATTTTATAAAAAAATTCCAGAGACGTTATACATATATAGGTACAGAAAGTTAAAGCAAAACTTGCATGAAAATTGTGCACATACAATTTTTCTTATATTATAATAATCGTATCAAAGCACTGTTGTGCTAATTGTGAATATTATAAATTAGAGAATGTTAAATTCTCAAGATTAATATTCATGATTATATTATTCTGACCTTGGCGCTGAGATATTCTCCAGCGTAACAAAAAATGAACGCCTCCAAAGTGATGACAACGTAAAAAAAGAGAGATTTGATCAGCATCGTCGAGCCTTGCGTGTCACCTATCGACTATAACGTGGTCGAAAATAATGCATGTCAAACCATTCTGAATGGCGGACGAAATGAGAGTACTTTATAATCCACGCATGAGTGCCATCAATTATTTTGGATACTCGAAAGTCGAGTATTTTGTCGTTTTTATTGCATATCGAGGAGCCGTCGGTATCGAATATACATATATAGAAATATTCGATGTATTAATATAACGGCAATTTAATATTATTTGCATTTTTTACGCGCTTCTTATATAATATATCGCCCATATAATATATAGCCTATATAATAATAATTAACTCACCGTTACGATTAAAAATCCAAGGCAACAGATGACTAGGGTGTTCCACAAGAATTGCATCAGCGCTATATATGAGAAGAGAGTCTCAATATCGGCAGAAAGAGCGATAATTCTCTGATGTCGACGTATTAATGCCTTGATGGTCGTGGTTCGCAAGTCAAACCCGTCGTCGTCTGAGGAGATTTCTACCAACCCTCGACACATTATATCGATTTGACCACCTACGTGAAGAATCTAAAAATAGCGGTCAACGCCCTGCAGTTTGTTCCCGATTTCATCGTGACTCAACGGAAAGAACAACTTTAATACAAGTGCAAAGGTTTATCAACGAAAGTGGCAATAATATAAATTAAAAAGAGAGTTTTGAAAAATCTCTCGTAGAATTCAATTTTTATAATTAATATAATTATAATTAATATTACGCAGAAGCGAACATATAATATGCGTGCAATATATTATATAATTAAAAAGTTTTATTATAAAAGAGACTAAAAGCGTAGAAATTGTACAGACGTTTCATATTGAATTTATCGATTAGACTTACTAGAGCGCTTTTCATTATGTCGCGCGGATAATACGGGATATTCATTATCTCGAACAATGCGGCGCAACAAGCGAGAAAATCCGATTGATTTATTTTATTATTCTGCTAAACTCTTTACAGTATAAATTATGCATCTCTATTGCACTGTATAATTACACGATATATTTAATGTAAAGCATATTAACTCGATCACATACACTAAAAAAAGCTATTGATTTCAAATAAATATCTATTTCAATAGTGTCATTAACACCATTTGTTTGAAACTAATAATATTCATTTGCCGTGAAAAAATACTTATTTGACATAAGAAATCCTTTTTCAAAACAGATAAATATTTATTTGTTTCTTGTATAGCTTTTTTCAGTGTATAATTTAGAAATTAGTCTACTCAATCTGACTCATTTTGGGTTTTAAATAAAGCAAACAAAATAAATAACTTCTCTCTCTCTCTCTCTCTTTTTGCGCTTTCAGACAAATTATTTACACGAAAAAAAATTCTAAAAAATTAACACAAAAAAGTAGAAAGATTGTCTCCATATTTCAGTCTTTGTTTCTTTTTCAGATTTGTGTTAATTTAAAGAACGTTTACTCACCAGCGAGACAATTAGAGCGTTCAACACGCCGACTATCGTGGCTGCCGCGAGCTGATGAAAAAATTGCGTGACCATGACGACCTCGTAAACGGGGGAGACATTGGACTCGAAGGGTAGCTCCATCTTGAGAAACAGCTCTCGCTCCGGCACGGCAGGTTGCACGTCGGCCTCGTCATCGACTCCGTCGCCGTGAGCGACGAGTACGCCGGTGCCGTAAAGAAACACCGACATCGAGTAGAGGCCGATGATCAGGTTGGAGGACCGATGCGAGACGTAGGTCGTCCTCGACATCGAGCAAACGGCCCAGTCGGTCGCGCAATCGCTTCGATCGCGAGCCATCATCGCCAGAATGTCGTGGAATATCCTGCGAGAAACTATCAGGAATAACAAATATTTCCTACATCGCGGTGAGATTCGGAATTGTCATAATTATTCAAATTGCTTTAGAAGGCAGGTGTTAACGTGTTGTAATGTGTCACGTGTAATCGCGCGGGTCTAATTGTATTTCTTAGATGGTAACATTATTTCTTCAGCTCCTTTTTTTTCATTTGTGCAAAATGGAAGCTCACCGTCGATTGATCCAGAATATCGTGAGCTTCAGCAGTAGGAGGCTGTAAGACATGGTGGTGCTGAGACCGTCCATGAGATGCGACAGATCGTCGGTGCGAATGTGTATGACGAAATAGCGGTACTGAAAGGTCTGCGCCATCGTCAGGGTGATCATCCAGAAGGCACGACGGAGAAAAGCGTAGGACGAGTCGGGCCAAACGCCGATTACGCGAAGACCGATCTCGATCGAACGACTGACGGTGCCGTCGAGGATGCTCGAATCAATCTTCGACTTCATTTTCGTACACACACGTTCTGTTCTCGAATGAAAACGCTTTTGACATGGACCGAAATATCAGGTCCCCTTATATCAATATCGCCACGAAACTTCGATACTCCGTCGAGAAGTCGATCGCGCGACGATATCGAATACATGGATGAACACGCGAGATGAACGCGAATGAATATACGAGAGGATTACTACGCGTATCCTCAACCCCCACCATCCCATTGTCTGCGAACCAATAGGAAGTATGATATTCTTGATGGAGTGAAATTGCTGGATGAAGTTACAACAATTAGGTAAGATAAGTGCGGGATATAGATAAGAAGGAAGAAAAAAAAGCGATTGCATTCTTGGGATCACTCTATGAATCCTTAAAAATTCAAAAGCGAGACCTTCTGAAAGATCGTGCAAAGATAATGATAATGGGTAGATCGAGACACTGGAAAAACGATAAAATGTAGAGACAATGAACCCGATAGAGGGGTAAATTAAATTGATACGACGAGGATCGTCGATACACGGCGAGGGATCATTATTTTGCAGTGGGTATATGTCATTTAGCGAACGTGAGTGACGCAAAAAAAGGAAATTATGAAGAAAATTACGTGCGTATAAATTCAATTTTACAAAATAAATTTGTCTCTTTCTCATCAAAAAGAATATACAAACATTAAAAATTGCTTGATAAAACTCGAGCTCCACTAATGTCATCGAAATAAGTTTGACATATAAAATAAAATGTTTGAAAGTACCTTTCGAACGTCGAGATGGACCAAGATTTTCTCTAAAACAATTATATTATATTGTATATGTTTGTCAGAGAAGAATTGATTTCTATTGACTTATTTCTTCTTCTTATATGAATTGTATTTTTTTCTATATATTATTATTATTATATTTATATATATATATATATATATATATATATATATATATATTATAGTATAGAAGAAAACAGCTTTCACGGCTCTTCAGACAAGCTACATATAATGCTACACTTGTTACTGTCCGATACGTCAGTAACCACGATGGATGCGCTTGGCACAAGTAATTGTTATCCGCTGGTCTCTCGTTTAATACATCGCGTGCAGTACTGACATATACGAAGCGGACGCTTTCATCACCTGGTCGAAATAAAACGATAAATTTCATTCGTGTAACAAAGATCGCGCGGCTATTTTATATATTGCCCGCCTCGTCTTATCAAACATTAAAACGTTCGACGTATTGTTCTATCTTGTTCCAGGATTCACATTCGCGAGACGAAGAATTCTTACGCTTGTAAATCCTTCCAGAGAAAGGTCCACGACGTTTCCGGCGGTGATGGTCAATCTTTTCTGCGATCTTAATATCACGAATAATAAAATCCGACATTCGGCGGCTGTCTTGTTATACCAGAGTGACTCGTACACTGCATCGCCGATCGATTTGCTCTGAAAGAGAGCAACAACGAAGATTGAAAGACAGAAATCTATCGAGTTCGTCCGAATTCGATTTCGAATGCAGTCGTTTGAAAGTTTCCAGGTATTTGAGAAACGCAAGAAAAATTGCAAAAGAAACTATACAAAAGTGAACGAGCCAAGTGAAAGAATAAAATATAACATAGTATATATGGAAAATAAAATATTGCGAACCTTGGCGCTGAGATATTCTCCGACGAAGCAAAAGATAAATGCTTCCAACGTTACAGCGATGTAAAATATAGCAGATTTCAGCAGCACTATGGTGGCCCCGTCCTCGGCGATAGACTTTGGCGAGAAGAAGAGGTAAATACACGAAAAATTTATAGTTCTAAATTATGCTCGATTAATTGAATATGATACGACTTACGCCTATAATTGTAAAGCCGATGCAACACATAACCACGGTATTCGACAGAAACTGCATCAACGCGATCTCAGAATAGAGCTCCTCGATATTATCCGAGAACGTAATTATTCGTTGGTGTCGGGTGATCAAAAGCCTGATTCCCGCGATGATCGAACCGCTCTGCGAATGTTCGTCGCAAACCGTCAACAACTCTCGACGAAGGATATCGATCTGTCCACTCACGTGAAGTATCTAAAAGAAGTATAAGTATCAATATAAATCTGTAGAAGACAGACTTCATTCTTATCTTGAAAATGTTTATTAAGATTAAGAAAAATAGGAATACAAATTCACAATTTCAATTAATCTTCGCAAAGAAAACGTCTTTAGACTCAGATGTTACAAAAATAAATAAATTTTATATCATCTTCGAATCATCGGTAAAACTCACTAGCGTGATGATCAAAGAGTTTATCATGGCGACCAGAGCGGCGATCGACACCATGTGAAAGAGCTGAGCGGTCGCCAGAAGCTCGAAGAACGGCGACGCGTGAACCTCGAAGGGAAACTGCATCTTCACCGGCAGCAGTCTCACACTGTCATTGAGATTCTCGCCGGCCGAATGTCGCGTAAAACTGCTCGCGGTGTAGCAGATCGCGGCGGTGGTGTTGATGCTGATCAGCACGTTGGAGCAGCGACGCGACAAATTGGCGTTGCTCGACATGACACTCAGCACCGATCGGTCGCGAGCGAGAGCGTCGCTCCAATCCTGATCCATCGCTAGCAGGATATCGTAAAATATCCTGTAGAAAATCGCTCGCGTACTTTATAAAAAAATATAAAAAATGGTATATAAAAAAATAAAAAGAGGAAAAACGATTGTCCAACTTAAAAGAACAACTTTCTTTCCTACCTACGACGCGACCAGAGCGAGATCAGCTTGAAAAAACCGAGGCTGCCAGCGAGCGCGATGCTGAGCGCGTCGATGAGATTCGAGATGTTGCTGATGTCGAAGTGATGGAAGATGTACACGTACTCGAAGTACGTTCCGACCATCAGACCCGTCATGTACGCGTACCAAGTGACGGTCCCGTACGGCAGGCCCGGCCAGATCCCGACGAAGCGCAGGCCTAGCTCGACGGAAGTGCTGATGAAAGTCGCGCGCATTATCTCGCATAGAATCGGAGCGTTTCGCTCTCGGGAAGTTGGAAACGATTATCGAGTGAACGACGCCACTCGGAAATTAAGCATGGGTCTCTATCTTTCTCTCTCGACGGGGCTATAACTATCCGGGGATCGTACTGAGCTAAGCCAGGCGACGATACGTCGACTCCGCGTTATCGGTCATTATCGATCAGTCGCAATTACGCGCCTCTGTTCTCCTGCCGTGCAAAAGAAACGTACGTTACATTATTTGTTCGATGATTACGGGTTGTTCGGAGGAAATAAGCGTAATTCGAGAAGATATAATGTATCGAAAAGGAAGGAGAATTATATTCGCTCAAAAAAAATTATAGAATCTATTATGAAACATCGCGCATACGCAATAGTAGATGCAGCCATCGGAAGACTTAAAAAGTAGGAGAAGAGAAGAAAGAGTGCTGCGAAAAAGAATTGAGACTGTCGTGGGAAGATCCAAGTGCAATATATCTAGAATTATACGAATAATAATATATTACTTGCTCTTTATAAAGAAAAATATAAATTATATTTGTTCTGTATTAATTAAGCATTTTGCTTTTATATATCTTAATGCATAAAAGATTATATAATATACTAACTTACATTATAAATCAATTTATCATTTAATCTACAGTTATATCTAAAAATAATGTAATTTGAAAAAAATCGCATTCGCGGATAAAATAATTCTCTCTCATTAATATAAAATGTTGCGATGAATTGCATTTCATTCGTAATAATTTTCATTATCATATTTTATAAATTTTTGATACATAAATTTTCTCTATTTTTTTTATAATAAGTTTCATAAAACAAATAAACAAACAATTTTTGACGAGTAATTTGATTAATGCATTGCATGCAACACTGATAAATATATGTATACATAAAATACAAGAAGCTTTTATGACTTATATATAGAGAGTATGAGAATTGCTATTATAAATATCGTATGGTATGCGAATATCGTCTGTGCAGTTATACAAAGGCTACAGAATGATTTGCATCATAAACAGTTTACACAGTCAGCTCTGTGAAGTTTGTTCGAAACATGTTTAATATCCATGAGCAGCATTTTGTATATGTAATGGATCTTACGCTGGTAAATTTTCTTGGAGAAAGATCCATCATCTTCCTGATCATAATCTCGTCAATCTCTTTTACAACCTCACGATCGAGCGAGTGAAAGAGTTCAACGTTGTGGCTTGATGTCATATTGTATCAAACAGACTCGTAAACGACATTTGCGATCGATTTATTCTGAAAAATAACCATCTGAATTTTCAATGAGTATTCGTATAAGAATTGTTCTTTTTCCAAGAAATTTAATTCAAAACGAATGAATTTACAATAGTACGATTTTGCAAGCAAAATTAAATAGGATAATATAATTGTTTGTTGATGCAATAATTTATTAAAAAGCAAGAAAGATTATGCCGAGTAAATATAAAACACGATTCGAAGAAAAATTCTTTCGTAGAAGTTGAAGTATTTCAAGAATGCTAATCGTGACATAAAATAAATTGAATTTCATTAATATTATTGTTTGTTATTTAATATTATTGATGACCTGCAAAAAAGCAGACATTGTAATTTAGTGATGGCTAATGTTAAAATTATTAATTAATAAACATCTTACACAAATTTTTTAACGTTTAAATAATAATAATTTCTTTTGTTTTATGTATATATGTATGTAAGACAATAGTATAAGTAATAATTACAAAATTGATTAGATTAACATTTAATTTTAATTTATACAAAGTGTTAACATTACCAACATTTTACAAAAATATATAACTTTTCAATAATAAGTAATATAAATAATGATAAAATTGAAGAAATATTAGTGGCAATTTCTGTTCATTTAAATTGAAATAATTACGAGTTTTACTCACGACGAGATAATCATAAATCCTAGGCAGCAGATAACCAGAGTGTTAGAACTGCATGAACGCAATCCAGGAGAGGAGATCCTCGATATTGTCGGACGGTGTGACAATATTCTTTAATGCTGAGGAGATGAGGGTTTTAATATCCGGTAGGAATAAGGAACACTCTGATAACTTTCCGGTGAGAATCTTTCTGTCAGATTTTGCCGCACTATATCAATCCAACCACACTCACGTAAAGAATTTACGGCTAGTCGAATTAAAATATATATAATTCATTTTTATATTACTTATATACGGAAGCTCATAAAATTATCATAAATAGAATAGCCAGGCGCCCACTGAAACTTATTATATAATATTTTACAAAGGAATTGATCATCATCGAATGGACCAGAGAGGAGATAGATAATTCGCGGAAGAATTGCTCTGCCGCCGTAATCTCGAAGATAGGGGACTCATTAATCTCGAAAGGGAATTCCATTTTGACGCGAAAATCGAATCCGGTCCCGCGAGGGTCGTTTTCATCCTTCGCGGAACATCGAGAGGAGCCTCCGAAGACATAAAAGATAACAATCGAGGCGTTGATGGACATTAAAATGTTGAAACGTCGACGCTCCAGTTTAGCATAGATTATCATAGAGCTATCAGTGATCATATATTCTCCGTCTCTCTCTCTCTCTTTCTCCAATTCATCGTTGCCAGAATCTTGTAAAACACTCTACACAAGATGACGCGAAAGTATATCTATTACAGCGGTTTACATAAACAGTGTAAACAACGTGAAAATATATAGAAGACGTATGAAAGACGTCCGGAAAGAGGCGCATCTTGCGAAAAATGTTTTACGGCACCTTTTACATTTACGTCTTGCGTTTCGAAAAGAAATCTTATAAACACGCCTAGATTCGAAATATAAAAGACTCGCACAATGCTGCGGAAAATGTATATCTCATAGCGAGAAAGTAAACGGCTTTGTTCCAGCGCGTTCTAAGATGCGGAAGATTGTGGAAGCGGATTTATATGGCAACAAATTCCTTGAAATCACATTCTTTCTCTCTTTCTTTTATATCAATTTAATAAGTAACGTAATATATAAATACATAAACTTATTTTAAAATAATGACACTTTAATGTTAAATCGAATCTTTCGAAAGTCTGCCAAATCATATGTTATTGATCAAAAGATTAACTAACATTAAAAACATTAGGCTATACGTCAGATTGTATTCAATGCTATAAGTATCTAAAAATTGTTTACGTCAAAGTTTTTAAAGATACGTTTTGAAAGTACAACAGTCGGTTAAATCGAAATCCCGATCCCGATCGAAAAATTCATATATGCTCTATAGTCATTTAGCGTTTATAGTGATCCTTAGAGACGATTTATTTCGCTAAGTGGCTTATTAGTGAGCGATGTATGTATTATTATGTGAAACTAATATCGATTCATCTAATGTGTCGTTCCATGATGACGACGAGAGGATTGACCGAGCGCAGAGAGAATGACAAAGTTAGACGCCAGTTATCGATCAATCATAATTGTATGCTAAAGCGCCGGCTGTTTAAAGATTGGGGACAAGAACGATCAACAGGCTACCCTCGGTTATAGTACATTGCGCGGTAGCGAATGATTTCCTTTAAAAATGCATCCTTTTCCGAGTATATACGCTCGTTCGTATCTAATGGTCGTATTATCTGTAATATCGTCGAGAAAAAGCGATTGGGAAAAGAAATAGAAATCTTGAAACAAAGCAAAAATAAAAAAAGAAATATAAGCAAACGAGAATTTAAAGTTAGAAATAAAACTGTATATATTACTTTTCTCTTTTTGAGTAATATTACATTTATAATTATATTACAGTACACACAGAGATAATTATTACTATAATAATTTTGCATTAATAAGTTTAGTAAATAAACCAGCTCTTTAATAATTGATTTTTTAATATGGCTTAATATTCAATTACATTGTAATACTCAATAATTATCAGTTTTATTTTGCATGAAAAAGGAATTTAACAAATTAGTTAATATGAGATTTTTATGAGTTGGTAACGTGTTAAATTAAATATGCAATTTGTTTTAATTATAATAATATTATGTTAATATTTTTATATAACAGTATTTTTGCGTTTAATTTAATAAAGCAAATGCAAAATATTGAATTTCATATCAATATAAAGAACATTAAAAAATAACGAATGCTGACAAATTCTGGACTTCAAAGACATTTATCGCTTAAGAGAAATTTGTCGCAGCACATTCAATACATTTTTTCTATCAAAAGCAAACACGGCGCATGTCTTTCCCGAGTATTGCGGATGACACATTGATGCTCAACACAACATTGGCAACAAAAATATTGAAATATTGGCTTTAGTTATCACGCTTAAGTGTCGATCGACATTACTTCAGTCGTGCCAATCGTTCTTCATCAAAATTTCGCTCTGTAATTAATATTTATAAATTGGCCGAATATTTGAGCACAGATGTAATAAAGCATTGGGAATAATATTTTCTACGAAATAACGGAAACATGGTTTCCTAATGATAAATGATCGTTGATGATGATTCAGAATATTAAAATATCAGAAACAATGAATATATTAGTCGACTGTATATTTAATAGCAATTTGATATATCTTTTATGTTTTTTGACAAATATTTGCAAACATTTTTTTACAAATAAACTGTAAGATCATCACATTGTTTCAACTACTCTTTATATGACATGTTTTGCGCGTAACAAAAATTTAATCATATTTAGCGCATTTAATCATAATGGCACATTTTATCAAAATTTAAAAAAAAACGGCACAGATTGATGCATTCAGAAAAGCAATTGAATTTAATTTGAAAAGCGTCAAATATGACTTACGGATACAATTGAACTATCCAAATAATTTAATTGCTGAATCTGAACAATATAATATATGTGTATAAATATATAAATATATGTATATAAGAAAATATTTTTACATTCTACTTTTCTGATATAATTTTACAAAGAAAAAAAATATCATAATGTGCTTCCAAGGAAGATGCAATGTGCAAATATTCTCTTTATTTATTGTACTCGTGCTGATGATATTGTATGTCGACATCTAAATAAGCCAAGTTCGGTCGAACAATGCAAGATCCGTTTTGAACGATAAATTTGGATTATACTATTCGCGATTATCATTCAACGACAATTCAAAGTTTAAATGGAGATATGAGAATAGACAGAACTATGTTACCTCAGAGTTACGTTAACAATTTCCTGCTGCATGAGAGAATGAAGATCAGTATCGGCACCTTCATCTGGGCTACTTTGCATAATACATCGAAATTACCTAATCATTCTCGAACGCTCGTGCAATCCCATCCGAATGGCAATCGATCGTAATTATGTCCTCTGCGTCTAACAGCAATTCGAGATAGCTTATTATCCGTCTGGGTGTCCTACAATTGCATCAAGATGATATACTTGAATGTAAACTAGAACGGAACTAGAACATGTCACGAATGATAATCAAATAATAGTCGATAGATAATTTTCTCACAAATTAATTGCTTTGACAAATCAAATTTATGAACAAAAAAAATTCATTCAATCCATACATTATTTTATAATATTATTTATAATAAATCGACTAAAAACATTTGTATAGTAGCAAGTAATCTTTGGTATAAATAATTTACAGAAAATAATTTTGCAAAGAACTTACGTCAACAATAAAAATGTTATCAATAAAATAATCACATTGATTAAACACATTATCTTAATGCAATAATATTTAAATAAAATGTCATATAAACTTTATATGTATAAATTTTCTAATAAAAATCCAATGTGACAGAGATAAGTTCAACGCAGCATATGAAAATATAGAACAAGCTTGCATTAAATATAGTTTTAAAATAATATTTTGCATTCTGCAAATCTTGAAAGTCATATTATAAATTGTTGTAAAAAGATTTATAAATGGAGAAATCATCAATTTATTTATAACATTTAAATATTATTTCTTTAATAACAATTTCTAAATTATTTAACCTACATTATTACAATTTGGCTTTAATAAATCACTGTTGTATACTTGCTAATATTATTAATACATCGCATGCAAGACAGATACATATGATGCCGATGCTTTTATAATCTAAAATTAAAAAATTATACAGGATGTAAAATGCAGAAAAATGAACACATAAAAATCACACAAATTATTGCGAAGGAAAATTAATTAAAATACAAAGTTTTTATTAATTATTACAATATACACATAACAATGGCAAAAAACGTACGCTTGCATAAGTTTCAAAGGATAAATTCATGATTTTCCCTGCTGTGATAACTAGTCGCTTCTGAGATCTTAGTATCATGAACGATATAACTTTACCTTGACTCGATGGCATATTATACCACAGTGATTCGTATGCTGCATCAGAGATAGATTTACTCTATAAAAAAAAAATACAAAAAGAAGTCTGTCAAAAAACGGCGGAACAATAATTTTCATATTTTTTATATTACTCAAACAACTTTTTTATATTTAAAAGACGAATCTTTTGTTAGACTTATCACACTATATAAAATTGTAAAAAATTGAAATAATAAATTAAATTTTTTATAATATAAATGCAAAATTTATAATGTAACTTTTACTGTTTTATGTTTAAAATATATAATAAAAATTAACAGCATACATCAAAAATTAAAAAATTATTTATTTAATTATAAAATAATTTATTTTTGTTTTACATATTTTAATAAATATTAAACAAAAAAATAACAAAAAGAATATTTTTATATTTCTAAAAAGCAACAAACATATTACTTTAGATATTACGATCAATTTATTGGAAAATGATTACTATACTTGCGCATTATATGTCGCATTAAGAAAATAATTAATGTATGATTAATAACTTTAAAATATTTACTAACCTTAAAGCTGAGGTATTCCCCAGCAAAGCAAATGATAAAGGCCTCTATCGCTATAGCAATATAAGCTAAAATAGCTTTTATTAACACGAAGACACTGGCATCATTATGAATGGACTACTTTATAAAGAAAAAAAGGAATAAAGAGAAATCATAATATATCGATTTGCATAATCCACGATTGCATACTCACAATTGTAATAACAAATCCTATGCAACAGATAACTAAGGTATTCGCAGCAACTTGCATCAATGCGATAAAGGAAAAAAGTTTCCCAATTCGTTCGGAAAATAAAATCACTCTGTTATGTCTTTCAATTAACGGTCCTAATAATGTATATGCGGAAGAGTCATCATAAATTCTTTTAGAAATTGTTTTGAAGTCTTCACATATAATATCGATTTGACCGCTTACGTGGAACACCTACAATACATTTTTTCTTCCAAAGATTAAATAAATATTGTGCATAAAAAAGAGGATACATATTTTTCCTAAAGAACATATAAGTTTATAGACGTGATAATTTTACACATAATATTTAATTATAATTTAATATATGTGTAATGCAATTCGTATGTAATATAAATTTACAAAGTAAAATTTGCGATAATTTCTGTGGATCTAAGCTTTCATCACGTTACACAGTCTTGATAAAGATGCTTAAATTGAAAGTACGAGACTCACCAGACTGAAAATCAATGCATTTACAATAGCGATTGTACACGAGTCCGACATCACATGTAAAAATAGTGCTAAGACGAGCAATTCAAAGATCGGCGATTGCTCCGATTCAAAAGGAAATTCTGCTTTGACAGGAAATTGCCGCAAACTGTTATTGTAATCTTTCGTTAGATACACAAAACGAATCGCGTAATCACCCAAGAGATAAAATACCGAAGCGAATGTATTAAAAGTCAACATAGCATTGGAAAAATAATGCGATATACCGGCATTAATTGTCATTATATTCATATGCTGATCGACGTAGCTGCACTCGCGCCAATCATTATCCATCGCGGCCAGGAGTTGATGGAAAATGCTGCAAATATTTAATCCATCAGATATTTAGGCAGACGAAGAGACATTATCTTTTCTACGCAATCTAATGCATATGCTATATATACACTGATGTTCAAACTAAGATTGAAGTGATAGCATTAAGTCACGTTCCACTTAGGAAAGGTCAAGTTGACAATGCACATCAGAGAACTGCATTACTTGGAACAAAAGAAGATTAATCTTTCTGCGATATCTTACCGACGATACTTCCAAAGACTAACCACCTTAATAAACATCAAACTGCTCTCTAAAGTCGAAGATAAGCCGTCCACGAGATTGGAAAGCTCGCTAAGTTTAAAATGAGAGAACACATATAGATATTGAAAGTATTGTACGATTAGAATGCTCGACATAACAAGAAGCGAATAAATTGTAGAATATGGCACATTTGGCCACAAACCGAGGCACTGAAGGCCGATTTTTAGCGCCGGATTGATGGTACTTGTAACTATCATTCGTCAAGAATTTTAAAGACGCAGGGAAATGATGAAGATCAGCGTCGACGCATTCGTAAATGTGAACTGAGAGAAAGCATCGTCCGTTTTTTTATCCCCACTCGATGCATCCCCACTCAAGTGAATACAGATCAATCGCTATCATACGTTATTGCGTATTGTAAGTTAAGATAGCCTTTATTATCCGTACAAAAGGTAAATTACTCCGTAATTTCATCGTAAGTCTAATAATTGTATTTCGATAGTGAAATGACAAAGATATCGTGAGCAGTTGGTTGTTCATATGTCAGTTTTCCCTTCACTTTTATCTTTGATAACGCAATGTCATCGACGAAGAAAGCAAATTCTATAGAATTTTTTTGTATCGTGAAGATCAATAAACGTAACTTGGTGGAACAATCACAATTATTCGAAACGAATGGAACTAAGTTGTGCGGTTGCATTCGATTACAAGTCTTAAAAGTAATAAATGGAGAATTTTGTATCTTCCTGATCGTATAATCAATTACTTAATAGCGGATAATTTTTTTTAATGATTCAAGGAATAAAACTTTTGCAGGACACTCATGGAGAAAGACTTCAAATAAGAAAAGAAATGTGAATTAATTCGAAATGTTGTAAAAGCTTATAATTACATTTGTTTTAGCAGAATTATGCAAACATAAACTGCATATAGACAAACGTTTCTATAAAGATTCACTAATAAATATATGTTAATGTAGTTTGCAAATATTATATATTTCTTTTTTGGTTAGACTATATTTTAATATGTATATGTATAATAAAAAAGCAAGAAAGGAAGAACATTAACTTAATGTATTTATATTAAATTAAATGTAATTGTACATCTAATGTGTATATTTTAAATCCAAATTAAATCAGCCTTAAAAGAGATTGTTAAAAAACTAGTTTAATAATAATAGTTAAATTATTATATATAACATATATAGATTATTATACATATATATAATAACATTTTCTACATAATCATTCTATGCTATGATTTCAAAAAATATTTATTAATATTAATACATCGCATGCAAGACAGACACGTATGATGCCGATGCTTTCATGATCTAAAGTAAAATAAAAGTAAAAAATTGCAATAAATAATACACTAATATGCGCACACATAAAAGACACAAATTAATTGTAAGTAAAAACAATTCTATAAAAGAAATACAATTTTTATAATAGTTATATCTGTTAAACTTACGCTCGCGAAAGCTTCCAAGGATAGATTCATGATTTTCCCTGCTGTAATCGTTAGTCGTTTTTGTGATCTCATTATCATGAATGATATAATCTTGCCTTGATTTGATGGCATGTCGTACCATAATGATTCGTATGCTGCATCAGAGATGGATTTACTCTAAAAACAATGCAAAAAAGTGTCCGTCAGAATAAAACAATATTTTTTTATATTTAATAAATTTCTTTATTTAAAAAATAATGTTTTTCGACATCAAATGTAAAATTTAAAAAATTCTAAATTTATTGATAAATAATTACTACTATGCTTACGAGTTGAAAAATTGTGCATTTACGATTAATAATTTTAAAATATTTACTAACCTTAAAGCTAAGATATTCCCCGGCTACGCAAATTATAAAGGCCTCTATCATTATGGCAAAATAAGCTAAAATAGCTTTTAATAACACGAAGACACTGGTTTCATTATGAATTGACTATTTTAATGCAAAAAATAAATAATTTATAATATTGATTAGCACATAATTTGTCACAACACTTACAACTGTGACGACAAATCCTAAGCAGCAGATAATTAAGGTATTCGCAACAACTTGCATAAATATAATAAAGGAAAATAATTGTTCAATTTGTCGGGAAAATATAACAACTCTGTTGTGCCTCTCAATTATTGTTCCTAATGTCGCTACGGAAGATCCATTAATATAAATATTCTCAGAAAGAGTTCTGAAGTCTTGACATATGATATCGATTTGACCGCTCACGTGAAATACCTACAATATTCTTTTTCTTCAAAAGATCATATTATAATAAATTTTATGCACATTTTTTTCTATAAAAAAATAATAAGCTTGTTGTGTATGTAAAAAATAGCCGTGATAATTTTAAACATAACATTAATTTTATATTTTAATTATTTAATTATAAAATTGGTTTAGCAATAAAATATAAATATAGTTAAGATATCACAATTGGTATATAATAAAATGTTTGCAAATGCAAAGTAAACTTTGTACAACTATTTTTAAGATCTAAGCTCTCATTATATTCTCTTTTTGTTACACAGTCTTCATAAAGAATAAAGATGCGTAAATTTAAAGTGAAAGACTTACCAAACTGAAGATCAATCCATTTACAATAGCAATCGTGCACGAACCCATCATCACATATATAAATAAGACTATACCGAGCAACTCGAAAATCAGCGATTGCTCCGTTTCAAAGGGAAATTCTATCTTAATGGGAAATTGCCGCAAACTGTTATTATAATTTTTTGTCAGATATACAAAACGAATCGCGTAATGGCCCAAGAGGTAAAATATCCCGGTAAATGTATTAAAGTTCAACATAGCATTGGAACAAAAATGCGATATACCGGCTTTAATTGTCATTAAGTTCAAATACTGATCGACATCGTTGCACTCGCGCCAATCATTATCCATTGCAACCAGAAGTTGATGAAAAAGACTGTAAGTATTGTAATCAATTAGATTTATCAGAAGACCCAGAGAGATCAAAAATATACACTGCTGTGTGAACTAAGATTTACATGATATATATAATATTATAAATCATATTCTGCTTAAGGAAAATCTGGTCAATTTTATTGAAAGACTGCGTTATATTTAATCAGATGAAAGGATTAATCTTTTTACGACATCTTACCGACGATGCTTCCAAAGACTAGCCAGTTTAATAAACATTAAACTGCTTTCTAAGGTCGACGATAAACCATCCACAAGATTTGACAGTTCGCTAAGCTTAAAGTGCGAGAATATATACAGATACTGAAAGTATTGTACAATCAGAGTGCTCGACATAACAATGAAACAATAAACGGTGGAGTGTGGCATGTCCGGCCATAAACCGAGGCACCGAAGGCCGATTTTCAGCGCCGGACTGATGGTACTCGCGACTATCATCTGTCAAAGATTTTAAAGGCGCGAGAGAAAGATCAGTCTCGGTGCATTTGTAAATGTATACTGAAAGAGAGCACCGTCTGTTTCTTCACGTGCACCCCCACACGATGCATCCCCACTCAAATGAATATACGGATCAATTGCTATCATACGTTATTGTGTAGTATATATATATATCGAGATAGCTCTCATTATTCGCATAAACACTCCATAATTCCGTAATCGTAAGTTTTATGATGCAAAAGCGTATTGAATGTATTTTATAATTCGATAGAAAGCGAATTAAAAAAAGAGAACCAACCATATTTTTTTCAGAGTTTCTCTCTGAGCCAATGACAGCAAAGAGCGAATGTCTATTGCAGTTTTTATTACAAAGATAGCTAAACGTGCTGTGCGATTAAATGATCGTAATTATTCATTAAGTATTCCAAGCAAGCGTAATTAAATTGTGTCCGCATAGCGTTCGATTGTAAGTCTTAAAAGAGATAAATGTGAGGAAAACATTGTATCTTCTCAATTGCGTAATAGCATGTAATTTTATTTAATGACTCAAGATTCAAGGAATAAAATTACAGAACACGTATATGAAAAAAATTTAAAGGAAAAAATATACATCAATTTGACATATCATACAAGCTTTATGATTATACAAGTGCAAATTGTATACACGCGAGTCTTTTAACAAAAATTTACTGATAAATATATAAATTTTATGCAGTCTAAAGATGCATTTCTTTTCTCGATAAGAAATGTCCTGTTATATGTATATTTATACAGCGTATCTATAAAGCAAAAAAATTTTTATATAATCATGCAACAAAAATAGGCAGTAACATGCATTTGTATTAAATATATTTTCAAATTTTATATAAATGGGTGCATTATAAAAACTAAATAAAATTAAAGGAATAAGAAATTTTTTAAGAGTAATTATATTAAAATGTGATAGCTTAATTAATATTATATAAATATATGTACATAAAAAATATAATATTCACTGAATCGCTGTCGCATATTTGTAAATATTAATAAATTATTCATTGTTCTTATTATATGTCAACAAAATTGTAAAAACTTATACTCGCATAAGCTTCCAAAAATATATGTATAGTTTTACCAGAGCTGTGTGTGATTTCCAGTTGTTTTTTTGAGAAAAACTTTATAATTTTAAATATAGTAATTTTGCAATATAAAATTTTTTCTACAACAATAATAATTCTCATAAAATTAAGTTTGCAGTGATACTGTATTTTGCATAAAACAAAATTTTTAAAGTATGAAGAATAAAATTTGCATACGACAATATGTTCAGGAATATCATAAATCTTCTTACTAAAGAGCCAAAATACATGAATATGCAAATGTGTATTATATAAATTAAATGTATAAGGATTATAAAATAAAGAGTAATTTATATTGGCGATTCAATTTCTCGAGTTTTTAAAAAATTGCGAAGAGGCGAAGATCAGCTAATTTGCCCAGAAACAGAAATACATTTTTTTCTAATAATATGATATTCGACGAGAAAACACAAATTCAGAGAGCTGTTCATATATCATGAAACCTGTTTAATGTAGTTCAGTTAAACGATAGCAATTACACATTACAGAAACTCTAAACGAGCAGAACTAAACAGTGTACGTGTTCGATTGTAAATATTAAAAAAGATAAATGAGAGGAGAACTTTTTATCTTCTTGGAGAAAAATGTGTGGGCTTAATAGTGAGTAATTTCCTTTAATAATTTTGCGAGAGAATTATTTTACGGTTCACACGCGCTAGTAGAAAGAGTTATAAAATAGAAAAGTATGTGTTCATTTATCGTATTATAAAAATTTTAAAAGTGAAAGATATAAAAACATTAATAAAATGCAAATTGCATAATGTACAGATCTTTCAATAACAATTCAATGGTTGATTCAATGTAATCGTAAGCTACATTTCTTGATAAATGTAAATATATAGTATATGTAATAGCATTATAAAAACAATAATTATTTGAAATTGTAAATGTAATTCAAATCTTTCTAACTCTTTCTATCTCTGTTTTTTTTACAAATACATTCAAATTAGATAAAAATTTAAATAAATATTGAACTGAATAATTAATAAATATTTATTAATTCATGAATAATATCTTGTTATTACTTTATATTAACGACGTTGTGATTTTAACAAAATGTTGTCATATATTAATACATTGCATGTAAAACCGATACGTATGATGCCGATGCTCTTACAATCTAGAAAAATTAAAATAAGTAAATTTAATATGCAAATACATATGCATGAATAAAAATATATTTTGTAACAAATACTTAAATTAATTATAAGAAAAATAAATTTTTATTTACTGTGTGTGTTTAAAAAAGATTTAATAACTTACACTACTAAAAGTTTCAAAGGACATATCCATCATTTTTCCTGCCGTGATTCCCAGTCGTCTATGAGATCTCATTATTATAAATGTTATAACTTTACTCTGCATTGGTGGCACATTATACCACAATGTGTCGTATGCTGCATTGGCAATTGATATACTCTAAAAAACCGCAAAGATGCCAGTTACTTTTTTTATTCAATTTTTTATCTGATAGATAACTAAATAGCTTACAGCCGTCGACACGATATAAAGAGAGACAGAAAAGATTTAATTAAAACAATTTAATTTATATATATATATATATATATATATATATATACATACGTACATCCATCTACTATTTAATTGAACTTTTCTAATTCTATATAGTGTCAGTAGCAATAACATATATATTTATACTGAGAATATAGATTATAAAATGTTTGAAATGTTTGAAGCATAATAGCAATTAGAGAAAAATGTTTGTTACTAATTCTGTTGTTTTTGTTCACAGAATAAAAAAAGGTTTGCATTTACAACGAATAATTAATCAATAACGTGGCAGAGATCTTCAAAAATCTTTAAAGATCTAAAAATTGTGCATTTGTAATTATAAATTATAAATTGTACGAGTTTTTTTCTTATCAACCTTAAAGCTGAGGTATTCTCCGGCAAAGCAAATTATGAAGACCTCAAACATTATGCCAATGTAACCAAAAGCGGTTTTTAATACAACCATGGCACCGCTTCCATTATTGATAGACTATTTCAATAAATAATAAGAAGAAATATGAATAATTAGTAATATATAATATATCAATTGTCCCATATTTATATGGAGAACTTACAATTACAATCATGAATCCAAGACAGCAAATAACTAAGGTATTCCACACGACTTGCATCAGTGCGACGAGAGAGAAAAGTTCCTCCAAATTTTGGAAAACGAAATCACTTTGTTGTGCCTGTCAATCAGCACTCCTAATGTAAGTGAGGAAGAATCGTTAAGAGAAATTTTTTCAGAAATATTTTTGAATTCTTGGCATATAATTTCGATTTGTCCGCTTACGTGAAGTACCTAAAATTTACTTAAAATTCTGAAAAAATTCCAATGACATATTACACATATAATAAATGTTTCTGAAAGCTATGTTCTTGGTACCAAAAATTTGAAATATATTATATAATATTTTTAAGCAAAAATTTTAATTATTACAAAATAAATTCCTCTGGCAATGATGTAAATCTTATGTACTTTATACAAAAATAATATATTGTTAAATTATATTAATATAATTATATTAGGGAGAGAGAGTTAATGATATTTATTTGTACTTGTGAAATTTCTACGAGAATATCGTCCGTTTTAAATGCAGATCATCGCAAGTCATTTTATTAAACACAATTTTGATAAGCAATATAAACGCCCATAATATATCATGCTAAAAAAGTTACCAATGTAAAAAACAATCCGTTTAGAACAGTGACTGCGTGCATGTGGAACATTACACACAAAAATACAATTACGATGAGCAATTCGAAAATAGGTGATTGATCATATTTAAAAGGAAATTGTATCTTGATAGGAAGTTGAAGTAAAGAATCGTTGTAATGGTGGACCAGATGGTCAAAATGGATCGCATAATCGCCCAAGTAATAAAGTATCCCCACAATTGTATTGAAGCTCAACAAAGTTTTATAAAAAAAATGCGATAAATTGGCTTTAATTGTCATCACATAAAAATGCTGTTCGTTATTTACGCAATTGCGCCAATCGTTAGCCATAGCTATTATAATTTGATGAAGAACTCTGCAATATGTTACACTAATTGGTCTCACATATATCGAATAAAAATATTATTTTTTCTACACAAGTTTTTAAATATTTCATTTATAAGAATTAAATCATAGTATTAAATCATTCATTATAGACACATGCATGCACAAGAAAGTATCAGAAATAATACATGTTAAATATTTTCTTAAACAGAACAATTAAACAAAATAACAACCATATCTTACCGACGATGTATCCAAAAAATGATCATTTTAAAAAACGTTAAAGTGAAATCTAAAGTCGCAGGCAAACTGTCCACGAGATTCGATAACTCACTCATTTTAAAATGATTAATTACATACATATATTGAAAATACTGCAATATCAGCATGTTCAACATAAATGTAAGCCAGCAAACAGCGGAATATGGTACACCCGGCCACATACCGATCAATCGAAGGCCGATTTTCAACGACGGACTGATTGAAGTTGTCGGTATCATTCGTTTACAATTTTGCAGACGCGATAAAGTAACAGTCAGTATCGGACATATACTTGTCAGAGTACGAGACAGAACTGAGAGGGCATCATCCATTTCTTCAAGTGTACCCCCACTCTAGTAAATATGGATTAATCGCTATTATGCCTCCTGTAATAAGTAATAATGCAACTCATTACTTGTGTGGTAATACTACTCTATTCTATAATTTCATTGTGCAGTAAATAATGTGTAGATATCTTTATTATGAAGAAAAGATATCGCGAATAAATTGTCTGCTTTTTTGTAATTTCTCCTGTCTCATCTTTTTACGATACGTTTATATCGACAACCAACGTTCGTCGCATCTTCTGCATAACACAAAGATTGTTTAATGACAGTTTGATTGAACGGTTGCATTAAGTATTCTAAGCGAACGGAACTAAATTATAGCAAGTTTTATAAGAGATAAGTATATAAGGGGAGAATTATATTTTTGTGCGTGAAATCGATCGTGCGTGGAGTCGAGTAAAAGCGAGTATTTTTCTTTAATAATCAAAAAAACGTTATTTTTCCGAACACGCAAAAGTACAAAGAGTTTTAAAAGTAAAAAAGTCATATCATTAAACGTGCAATTACAAGCGCACGCGACAAAATACATGTATATCGTACAAATTAGATAAGCGCAGATCTTTCAGTGTAGATTCAATGGTCTATTTGATGCAATTAAGGTATAAGAATAATATATAAAAAAAATAATATATAGAAAAAACAATTATTAAATTTGTATCAAATGTAATGATAATTTTTATATATTAGTATAGAAGATTAGTAATATAAGAGTTTAATAACATACAATTTAACTAAATAAATTTATCTCTATATGCATAGAAATATTGACAAGCATTTTGTTTAATTTTAACTGCAATTTTTAATTTTACTAAACAACACAAGCGTCTCTTTTGATATCATTTCTATTGTTCATTTTACAACTGTCAAATTGTTAATCTTTGCAATGACAATTGTTTGATTCTATGACCATAATTTTAATTCGCCGATTTACTATTATGTACATAATTTCAATTCTCGAATTTTTATGTACATAATTTTAAATCGCTAAATAAGTTCTATTATGTACATAATTTTAATTCCCAAATTTTCATTATGTATATAATTTTAATTTATTGAATTTCTATTATGTACATAATTTTAATTTGCCGAATTTCTATTGTATTGTTTGAAAACTATTTTGTATAGATGTATCTCTATATATTTTTTCTTATTTTGCTTCGTTTGATCGAATATAATTACGTACGCGAAGCTAAAGTTATATTATTCATTGATATAAAATTATTATTGCAATACATGTATAAAAACATATTTATTAATTACGTGATTCATAAAAATTCAATATATATATATAAATTTTTAACAGAAAACAAAAAATAATTTTCTACAAGACTTTCGATCAAAATATATGCGCTTTCATTAGAATTGCACGTCTGTACGCGTCCATTATGCTGCATGGCTCTGCACGCTGCACGACGAAAGCAACTCTCTTTCTATCCTTTCCATCAGATTAATACATCCCATATCTCCATTACGCTGCGCAGCTCGCGCGAGACTGATTCTCATGCGGGGTATCGCGAGCGCGGGCCGATGGTCACATGACCAGTGGTCACATGATCAGTGGTCACATGATCAGTGGTCACATGACAGTGGTCACGTGATTACTGGTCATGTGACCATCGGGCCCGCGCTCGCGATACCCCGCACGAGAATCAGTTTCGCGCGAGCTGCGCAGCGTAATGAATATATGGGGTGTGGAGTTTCGCGTGAGTTTAATGAAAGCGTAGATATTTAATCACAAAAGGTTCTTGTAAAAAATTTTACTTCTTCGTTCGTATTTTCTGTAAAAGATTTAAATATTAAATTTTTATGCGTTGCATAATTAATTAATATATTTTTTATGCATTAATTGTAATAATAATTTTTGTATGGATGCGTCGCAATTTTTGAGATTTTATTATCAAAGAATAATACAACTTCGCTTTGCGTGCGTAATTATATTTGGTTAGATTAAACAAAATTATATATATATTTATATATACTGCTACATTTTGTATTTCTATTTGAAACATATTCATAATAAGATACAGAATTAATATTCACTCTTTCATGTCCATTCTTAAACGTCAAATGTGTTCTCTGTTTAAGTAATTGTCAATAATCGTTATATATATATGATAAATTATAAAACAATAAATTGAGATAAAGTTTGTTATACTTACATATAATATTTAATTTTATAATTTTATAACAAATTTTATAACATATTGACGACTGTAAAATAAAAATGATAATAGAAATAAGAAAGTATTAAAATAAATAAATATATAAAAAAAGATTTCCTACATTATACATTTTTTCTGAAAATACGATATCTTCAACGAGTAGACAAAATATTAATATTTTTTTTGTTTTATATTTTATATCATCGGAAGAGATCACTTAACATGCGATAATTTAATTGAATGATAGTAATTGTGCATTAAATATTTTAAACGAGCAGAACTAAACTGTTTGCGTGTTTAATTGCAAGTTTTAAGAGAGATAAATGAAAGAAAATGCGTTCCTTACTAAAAGAAATGTATAGAGGTAAGGGTAATTTCTTTTAATAATTTTGACAGAATTATTTTGTATTTTGTATTTTAACCCACACGTAGAAATAAATAAAGCAAGTTTGAAAAGCAAAAAAATTGTACGTCCATTTATCGTATTATATAAAAGCTTAAAAATAGAAATACCTACAACATATACCTATTGATTAAGTCAAAATTGTATGCATATGCGTAGATCTTTGAATAATAATTAAACAATTCAACAAAACATACTAAAACAATATAAAAATGTAAATAACTATTAAAATAATTTATTAAGAATGCTTATTAATCCCCAAATTAAATGATGTCTTTTCTTATCACCTTATATTAGTTATACTATAATTTTAATAAAAATGTGCCATTCTTTTCTTGACATCAATGCATTGCATATAAGACAGATATATATGATGCCGATGCTCTTACAATCTATAAAAATTAAAATAAATGTAATGTACGAATATGTACGCATGCGTAGAAGAATTTTCGACATATACATTTATTAATTGTAAACGAAATAAGTTATTTTTTGTGTTCTTTATGTGTTTATATAGTATGTTAAATGGAAATTTAATAACTTACACTACTAAAAGTTTCAAAGGACATATCCATCATTTTTCCTGCTGTAATTGCCAGTCGCCGATGAGATCTCATTATTATAGATGTTATAACTTTACTCTGATTTAATGGCATATTATACCACAATGTCTCGTACGCTGCATCGGCGATTGATATACTCTAAAAAAATTCAAAGAATATTAAATGATAAAATGGTATTATTTCTATTTTTTTTATTTATTCAATTCTTTTATCTAATGAGTAAAATCTAATTGTTAACATTATATAAAGTCAGAAAAAATTGAATTAAAAATATGTTCTGTTTTTATTAAACTTTTGTTCAAATTTTATATATAGTGTCAGTTTCTGTCAATAATATAATCGTACCGACAATGTTCGATTGTCGTAAACTATTTAAAAAACATAATTATAGTGATATACATATGTGTTACGAATTCTTTATTCCGTTTTTGTTTTCAAATTAAAAGAAGTCACGTATTTGGGTGATCGATTAATATACTATAAATATATTGAACAGAGATCTTCATAAAAATTGTGCATTTACAATATGTTATATAAGTTTTTTTTTTACATTCTTTTCACTTACCTTAAAGCTGAGATATTCTCCAGCAAAGCAAATCATAAAAACCTCAATTATTACGGCAACATAAGCACAAATGGTTTTTACAATAACCACAATACCGGCTCCATTATTGATAGACTATTTCAACGAATAATGATAATAAGAAATAATTAGTTAATAAAATATAATATCAATTGCAGCAAACTTGTAACAGAACTCACTATTACAATGATGAATCCTAGACTACAAAGTACAAAGGTATTCCACACAACTTGCATCAATGCAACGAAAGAAAAAAGTTTCCCGATATTATTGGAAAACGAAATTACTTTGTTGTGCTTGTTAATCAGCACTCCTAATACAAATGCGGAAGAGCCATAAAGAGAAGATTTTTCAGAAATATTTTTGAATTCTTGGCATATAATGTCGATTTGCCCGCTTACGTGAAGCACCTAAAATTTACTTAATATTCTGCAAAAATTTCAATTACCTATTACACATATAATAAAAATTATTACTATAAACACCCTACGTTTTTTTTCGTATATGAAATTTTAATTTATCATACAATATTCTTATGTACGATACTTATAATTATTACATAATAACTTTATCTGACAAAATGTAAATCCTACGTAATTCATATGTAACAAGAATTTTGTAAATTATGTAATTTTCAATTGTAAATTTGTACGAAAATATCGTCGGATTTTTAAACATGGATCGCAAATCATCTTTATTAAACACAACTTTAGTAAAAAATATAATGATTAAAAAATATAAAATGCGAAAAATTTACCAAAGTAATAATCAATCCGTTTAAAACAGTAAACGTGTACATATGTAACATTACATGTAAAAATAGAATTACGGCCAGTAACTCGAAAATAGGCGATTGTTCGAAATCAAAGGGAAGTTGTATCCTGATAGGAAGTTGCCGTAAAGTACTGTTGTAATCATCGACTAGATAAATAAAATGAATCGCATAATCGCCTACAATATAAAGTGTCCCAGCAATTACATTAAAACTCAATATAGCGTTAGAATAGAAATGCGAAATATTGGCTTTGTTTGACATCACACAAAAGTGCTGTTCAACATTGATGCACTCGCGCCAATCGTTATCCATAGCTATCAGAATTTGATGAAAACTCTGCAATGTATTACACTAATTGGTCTGATGTATAAGACGAGAAGATTATTCTTTCTATACAAAATTACAAGCATTAAATACATATACATACGCATGCATGAAGAAAGAAGATTGGTTAATAATATACATATTAAAAATTTTTTTCAATTATTTACCGAAC